CCCCCAGCCCCAGCCAGAAAAAAAAAAAAAAAAAAACTGAAGTCTTCAATATGAATTGCATCTCAACATCATGATATAATAGAAAAAAAGTGAAACTGTCAATAATTTCATCTTGCTTGGATTCAGTCAACAACCTTGGTCATATCAGTCAGTAGATTATGAATATGTAGCATTGGGAAAGTGTGCCATCAGGAACCTCTGAGTACATCTGAAAGCTGGACAATGAATAAGGATGATAGAAAAAGAACTGATGCATTAGAGCTGTGTTAAAGAAGAGTGCTGAATATCCCATGGACTGCCAAAAGCACTTTCAGAGAAAGTGCAGCCAAAGAGTTCACTGGAGATAAAGCTAGTAAAGCTTTATCTCACATATTGTGGATATGCTGTTAGGGGAAGTAATTCCTTGGAAAGGGACATCAAACTTGGAAATGTAGAGGGTCAGTGAAGGAGAAGACCACCTTCAATAAGATGGACTGACAGTTTTGTGGAAACTCAAAGATATTGAGGATGAGAAGGATGGCATAGGTAGGACAGTTCAGATGTCTTCATGGGGTTTCAAAGCCATACTTGATTCAACGATACTTTATAACAATAGTCTTACTTTCTCTAGTTACTCAAACTTATCGCAAAAAATATACTTCTGAGAACTTGGGCAGTATTCATAAAATTTGATCATTTACTTACGAATTAAGGGTTTCCATTTGATTGTTGGCAAAGGAACAATTGCATTTTCATTATTGACAGATTCCAATGCCTTGGGATTTGTAGGAAACTTTTCTGAAATCCTGACTGATGACTGCAGATAGAGCTGGCCTCTGTACATTCCTAAATCAAACAAAAATAAAATAAAAATTTGAGTTTGTGCTTTTTTCCCCAAAAGAAGGTTCATTTTAATATAACAAAATTAGACTACTTCCAGTGTTTTACTCACGTGTTATATAGTTCTTTACAATATGGAACCATGTCTGCAGCACGCAGATTTGACCCATGCTTTATTCAACAAAAGAATGCCTCATACAATATTGCTCACATTTTTCACTTACAATATTTAGACAATATAATTACAGAAAAAAAACTCTACCTATGGAAATTTTCAACAATAGGAAGTCATTGTACACTTATGAAACCATAACTTAGACGAATGCTTTCCTCCTGAAAAAAACTTTACATGAATATATATAACTTCAGAGATATTGCTAACAATAATCAAATACTATTTTAATGCATGTGTGACCTATTATTCTTTCAAATTCTTGCATTTTTTGAGATTGAGGTATGAATAGTATATTGGCACAACTTAAAAGAATTTTATGAATCTCTTACCACTGAGACTAGTTCAAAAAATTAGATTTGAGATTTCAAAGTTTATTACATTAAAGGCATTCAACTGCCCAGAGGCATACCAGGTTAGATGTACAGATACCTAGGGAAAACCATCTTAGTCTCTACAGGAGAGCAAACTGATATGGAAGTAAAGACAAATGTAGGCTGGAAATAGTAGACTATGAGATTACGTGAGGAGTTCCAAGTTAGGCAATGTCTTTCTAATACAGTTTTCACAGAAAAGCAATATTCTGCAGTAACTGAAAGTTTCAGAATTAGACAAATGGGAAGAGAGCAGACATGGAAACCAAAACACAAATCTCTTTAAAAAAAAAAAATAAAATTTTTCATTTCCACTGGTTTATTTAAAAAGTCCATATACACTGTTTTCCACACCAGATCTTTCCCATTTCCTTTACTCACTGCTCCCTCCAACCATCAAATTGTGCAACCCTGTGATTAACCACCACCTCCACCCCACCCCCACCCATCCTCACCCCTCTGCTCCCACCCTCCCCTCCCTTGGATCCTCATACATGTTCTACAAGAATTCTCTTACATTACACCTATATTTTCATTAGCCTCTACCCACAATTTAGCAGTTGCATCAATTATGAATGTGGGAAATACACAGTAGTTTCACATTACTGCTTATTGCCATTTACACCATGGACTGCCAAAATTTTCCTATAAAGGAATGTTGTTGTTGTTATATGCTGTCGAGTCACCTGTGACTCATAGCAACCCTATGTACAACAGCCCTAAACTCTGCCCTATCCTGTGCCTATCTCACCATCTCCAAGACACCTACCGCCATTACCCCAGTCACTGGATCAGTCTATCTCATCGACAATCTTCCTGTCCTGTGCTGTCCTTCCACTCTCCCAAGAATGACCTCCTTCTCCAAGGACTGGTCCCTCCATTCAACATGTCCAAAGTATGTCAGACGAAGCTTCAGAATCCTTGCCTCCAAGGAGCAGACCAGCTTCACGCTCTCCAGGACAAATCTGTTTGTTTTCCTAGCAGTCCATGGTATATTCAATACTCTTCTCAAATACCACCGCTCAAAGGCATCAATTCTCCTTCTATCATCCCTAGTCATTGTCCAGCTCTCTGATGCATAACAAGTGATTGCAAAGACCATGGCATATATCAGGAGCACCTTAGTCTCCAGACTGACATCTTTGCACTTCAGCACTTTAGAAAGGTCTCTAACCACAGACTTTCCCATAACAATACGTCTTTTAATTTCCTGGCTGCTGGTGCCAAGAGTGTTGACCGTGGATCCAAGCAAACCAAAACTGAACAAACACTTTCAATCTCATCACCATCCATTATGATGCTGCCAATCGGCCCAGTGGTAAGAATCTTTGTTTTCTTGACACTAAGTCTCAATCCATACTGAAGACTGTAGTCCCTGACCTACCACAGCAAGTGCTTCAGGTCCTCCTCAGTTTCAGCAAGCAGGATTGTGTCATCTGCATAACACAGATTGTTAATGATTCTTCCTCCAATGATGGCATATTTCTCCTCCTAGAGCCCAGCCTCCCAGATAACCTATTCTGCATAAAGATTGAAAAGGTATGGAGACAGGATACAGCCCTGGAGTACACCCTTCCCAATTCTGAACCATGCAGTGTTTCCTTGCTCTTTTCTGACAACTGCCTCCTGATCCAAGTTTAGGTTTCACATCATGATAGATTAAATCTATGGGAAAAACTGCTGGAGAAGCTCAATATCAGGTGTGAAAACTAGGCCTGGTGCTGACTGTGGAACAAATCACCAACTACTCATATGCAAGTTTAAGCTGAAGCTAAGGAAAGTGAAATCAAGCCCACAGGAACCAAAATATGACCTTGAGTCTATCCCACCTGAATTTCAGAACCATCTCAGAAACAGGTTTGAGGCCTTGAACACTAATGAGCAAAGACCAGATGAGTTATGGGAGGATATGAAGAATATCATCCAAGAAGAGTGCAAAAGGTAATTGCAAAGATGGAGGAGGAAGAAAAGACCAAAATGGACGTCAGAAGAGACTCTGAAAATTGCACTGGAGCGCAGAGAAGCCAGAGTTGAAGGAAGAAATCAAGGCATTAAGGAACTGAACAAGATTTCAAAAGGCTGAGTGACAAGACAAAGTAAAGTATTATAATGAAATGTGCAAAGAGCTGGAGTCAGAAAATCAAAGAGGACGAACTTGCTCAGCATTTCTTAAGCTCAAGGAACTGAAGAGGAAATTCAAGCCTAGAGTTGCAATACTTAAGGATGCTTTCTTTGGGCAGAATATTGAGTGATCCTGCAAATATTAAAAGAAGATGGAAAGAGTATACAGAGTCATTATACCAAAAGGAATTGGCAGACACAGAAGAATTTAACGAAACAACATATGAGCAAGAGCCTATGGTGATAAAGGAAGAAGTTCA